GGTAAGAGTCGTTGCCCTCAATTACCGGGTACAACTCTCGCTTCTTGTCTTCGCTCTTACCGGGTAAGATTTTTAATCATTGTCATATTCATCCGGTAAAGTAATATGACTTGGTAAATGCTTACCCGGATAAGTGTTTGGTAAATGGCACCGAAGAGTCTAGAAATCAACAAGAATGAGATAATCAATTAACAAAATAAAGATTCAACATTTAAACAATAAAAAAAACCCTGCGGAGGTGTTAGAGTCACAGTGGACAGAGGTTGTGGCCGTGGCTCGAGAGGGCAGTGGGCAGAGGGTTGAGTAACCGCGAGTCTTGACAACGGCACAAGGTGACAATGTCGATCATGAAAGGATGCCGTTAGGGTGAGACTATATATACACGAAAAAGATGGTCTTCTCAAGGTTTCCTATGCCAGTTTGCATATGGTTTCAAGAACACGTACATCTTAAACCTATGATAAATTCACAACTTTGGTCTACCATTTGAAACCTTTATTATAAACAGGACTCTAAATGGGACGTCATAAAATAGTGTAAAAATATTTTCCATGTGAACACTACCTCGCCAAAATTGGCGAGGCACTATTGGTTAACACCAAAATGGTGAGGTTTTTAGTGTATCATTTGAAAATGCATATATAAACATATATGAATAATCTTTAATGTTAGTTCATATATATGCATATTCTAATAGATTTTCCTTTTCAGATTTTTTCAAAGAACTTAGATGTGAACATTCTCTTAACCCACCATTCTTATCTTCTCACAATATTTAGCCTCTTTATTTGAGTTGACTCCTTATCTAGTAATTTACATATTCGATAATTCAATGATAATTATCAGAAGTTGGATTTACATGAGACCAACTTGTTTTTATGAGACTCATAAGACCATAAAATAACATTGAAAGTTCACACAAAACATTGTGAGGGTAAAAAACTCTCTTCACAATGTTTTGCTAACCTTCACAATATTTTGTTATGAAGGTTCATTGTCATTTAGATGGTCACTGGTCTCACGTGATCCCAAATCTAGTTATTAGATATAAGATTAATTATAATTCTTCTTTTTGTTATTTTATTAAATTTGTTCATGGTATTGAGAGCATCTCTAACATATTATTTATAATTTCACTAAAATAAATAACCACTAATTAAAATCTCAAAAAAATTACATTAAATTTCAAAAGATTATCTATTGTAGAGACTTTAGGAACGTTTATCAGACGCTTACTCGGTAACCGCTTATCTAGTGTGTATGACAAATACCGCGAATCTTACCTGGTAAGAGCGTAACAAGAACGGAAAATCTTACCTGGTTAGTGATGAAACAAACTTTTATCCGATAAACACTTACCAAATAAAACATTCTTACCAACAGTCCAGTTGGATAGGAGAATGTCACCTAATAAGGTAAGTGATGGTGATAACCTTTGCCGATAAGTGCTTACTCTGTAAAAGTTTGGTAAACAACCCCTTCATTATTAATTATATTATTAAAATATTCTATAATTTTATATCACAATACACTTACAACAAACTTACAAACTTTATATAAAATAATAGGGAAAATTGCATCAAAATGGAATCAACTTTCACCTGATTCATATTTTGGGGAACCAACTTTCAAAATCGCCATTTTGGAGAACCAATTTTCACCTGATTCCTATTTTGGGGAACCAACTTTCAAAATCGCCATTTTGGGGAACCAACTTGCACCTGATTCCTATTTTGAGGAACCAACTTGCAAAATAATTATAGAAAAATGAGAAAATTACACCAAAATGAAACCAACTTTTACCTGATTCCTATTTTGGGGAACCAACTTTTAAAATCATTATTTAGGGGTCTCTATCAAACTTTTTGTTTATTTAAGAGTCTGGTTGATCTGTTGAACATGTAACAGGTAATTTAAGGGTCTCAATCAAACTTTTGGTTAAATTTGCCAAATTTGATTTAAACTTTAATATTGACACAGATTGGTTAGATATAAAAATGTTGAATGTAATATGTAATATTTATTTTTTATTGCATCAATTAATTTTTTTCTATTAAATTGATTTTTTAATTGCATTAGTAAAAAACAATTTTTATCGTGGTAATTTGGATTTTTTTCAAAAAAATCTTCAATTTGATATCTGAATTTAAAAAAAACGAGATTTGAAATGAAAAATAGATTTTATTGCATTAATTTTTGAAAAAAACGAATTTTAGTTATTTTTCTACAATTATTTTGCAAGTTGGTTCCCCAAAATAGGAATCAGGTACAAGTTGGTTCCCTAAAATGACGATTTTGCAAGTTGGTTCCTCAAAATAGGAATCAGGTGCAAGTTGGTTTCCTAAAATGACGATTTTAAAAGTTGGTTCCCCAAAATAAGAATCAGCTGAAAGTTGGTTCCCCAAAATAGAAATCAGGTGAAAGTTGGTTCCATTTTGGTGTAATTTTCTCAAAATAATATTAATTCAATATTTATTAGTGTGAGTGAATAAAAAAGATCTTTGTTCACATAAAGTTTTAGATAATTCTCTAAACTTTTTTTTTTCCGTAGTCTCTCTATTTTAAGTAACAACAAAAAAAATATATTATAATAAAAAAAGGGTGTTCGCATAATGCAACGAAATATATCTCGATTTTAGTGTTTCGTTTTATTTTTTGGTCTCCGTTGATATTATAACATGGATTTATGTAGTTTTGAGTAAACAATAATGTTTAAAAAAAAATATAAATTTAAAGATATCATAAAAATAAAAACAAAAATATAAAAGTTCTCATTTTTTGTGTGTGTAATTTCTTTAATTTGATTTTTAAATTATAATTTAATTTAGGTTTAATGACGAAGTAATTATGTTATAACTCAATGATTATCCTAATTATATTTTAAATATATTTAAAATGAGAAGTTTATTATGTATTTGATTATATTTATCTACAATTAGTTACACGAATTAAAATATGGTGCTTAATAAGTTGTACTTATACAAATTTTACTTGTAATCTTGAATTTTAAGTTATATGTATTAAGTACTTTATGTATAAAAGATGGTTTTTAAGAGTTTTTATTAAATGATTTATAATATAATATATAAATAAAGAACAAAAACTCGTTTATGTACTTTAAAGAAATTATGACTAAAATATTTTCTAAAATATATCATATTTATATACAATAAATATCCATATATTTTGCATTTCAATTTTCAATCTTACACCTAATCAATGACGATTTTGGTATAATGTCACAAGTGCAGCTGTTTGTCGTAGGCCTGTAAATGAACCGAATGAACACGAACGGAGGTTTGTTCGTGTTCGTTCCTTTAACTTAATCGAACAAACAAACGAACACAAACAGTAAACGAACAAAATTCTTTGTGTTCGTATCCATTTATCTTCGTTTATTAAGATGCTAAACAAACATAGACGAATAGACTTAAACAAACTAAGCTCAAACCACTTTGAGTGGTGAATCACTTGAGTTTTTAAGGGGTGAGGATCAAATATATATATAATAGATGATGTAACAAAATTTGTTAGTTTCCACCAATGTGGGATGAGTTGGAAAGAGTAAGGAGTCGTTTACCTAAACGCTTACCTCGTAAGCGTTTAATGGTAACATTCAATTATATATCTTATTTATCGGATAAGATTTTTAGTCTACCAAAACGACATCGTATGTAACAATTTACCCGGTAAGCGCCGACCGTGGTAAGAGTCGTTGTCATTACTTACCGGACAAAACTTTCGGTTCGTGCTTTCGCTCTTACTAGGTAAGATTCTTGATCCTTTTCATATTCATCTGGTAAAAAAATGTGACTTGATAAATGCTTACCCGAGTAAGCATTTGGTAGACGGTCCCTAAGCCGGATGAAAAAAAAAGGCATCTCAAAACGAAAAGGTTGAGAAAAAGCATCCAATCAAACAACTATATAAATGAAACGTGTGTTTGGGTAAAATTAAACCCGTTAGTTTTCCTTATATTTTTTCAAAAAATATGAACTCTTTACTCTATCATTATTAAAATTATAATTATTATATCTATACTATATTATAAAGTATTTGACAAAAACTTTTAAAAACCACTTTTGATGCATAAAGTACTGTTTATTAATGCATATTACTTAAAACTCAAGATTAGAAGTAGATTGTGCATAAGTACAAATTATTAAAGCTCCATATCTGAATTCGTGTAACTAACTGCAGATAAACATAATCAAATACAAGATAAACATCTCATTTTAAATATAAAAAATCTAAAATATAATTAGGATAATCATTGAGTTCTAACATAATATTTAATTTTTTTTATAAAATGTTATATAATTAAACTAAAAATAAATTATTTCATTATTAAACTTAAATTAAATTATAATAAAAAAAAACAAATTAAAGAAATTACATAAAAAATGAGAACTTTTAAATAGTTGATTTGATTTTAACATTGATATATTTTTTTTCAAATTTTTATGATATCTTCAAATTTATATTTTTATTCAAAAATAAAATAATTAATGTTTTTTTAAAAACACATAAAATCGTATTATAACATCGACAGAGACAAATAATAAAATAAAAATTTAAAATCAAGATATGTCTCGTTGCATTGTGTGAGTACTCTTCTAGTAATTTTTAATTTATTATCATCCGTAAACGAATGCAAGTAAATGAACAATGAACATAAATAAACAAACATTCACAAACAAGACCTTTGTTTATGTTCATTCGTTTAATTAAATGGACAATTTTTTTTTTGTTCATGTTTGTTTATTTATTAAATAAACAAATTTTTCACTAAAGGGTTCATTGAACGTTTATTTACAAACCTATAAACATCAACATAAAAACTCATTTTTTACATTATTAACACATAAATTGACTCGATTTTAGCATTAAAAAACTCGATTTTAACGTTAAAATAGATACTTATGGCAATCTCCGTATGCTAAAGAAATCTTTCTACTTAATTAGGTCGATGGCGTTTTGACTTTCCAGTATCAAAGGTTTTCCTTACTTTGGGGGTCTGCAACGGTGAAAAAGGAAAGGGGTTCGCTAGGGTTCTTCTCAAAGCCATTTCTAATCGAAAGAGTACGACATGGCCGAAGGACGTGAGTTTGAGTTTCAGATTTACAACTCCATGACCAAGCAAAAGGAGAAATTCAACCCCATAGTTCCAGGCAAAGTCTCCATGTACGTTTGTGGAGTTACATCTTACGACTTCAGTCATATTGGTCATGCTCGTGCTTATGTCGCCTTTGATGTCCTCTTTCGGTATGTAAACTCTCTTTTTCTCCACATTTCATAGACTAACGCGAACTAGTTGGAGCAATGTGCGCGATTATGCTCATTTGATCACCAGTTCTTTTTTGGCGTGGATTTGACGCCAGATTGAAACGTGTAACCTGAGTTTAAGTTGATTATAACGTCCCGATTTAACTTCGTATTATGAGTTAAGCAATTGAGTGAAAAAGTTGCAGTGTTTCTGAAATTATAGGTAATTTAGTTTTACCACTTGAACCAATTTTTCTCAGCCCCAATTCCGACCAATGAAATTGGAGTTTCTAAGTACATTGTTAATATGTCATACAAGAGAATTTCTATGTACTAAAAGAATTGATTTGGAATTCACAACGTTTACCCGAGAACTGCACCTTTTCAGGACTTTACATATACAGGGCACCACATATTGCTGAATTGATTGACCCTTTGTGATTCTAGAGCTTGATGTAATTGCACATGTCTTATTATACATATTGGTGAAGAGGATAGCATGGGTTTACCTTGTTGTTTTTGGGTGAAAAGGATTTTCTTTGGCCAATGCTTATCCTAAATGGCATTTTATAGATGATAACAATTGAATGTAGGTTTATAAAATTGTAAAAGTTATCTTTCAAGGTACTTCATTGATTCATTGGTTTGCAACTGCATACACTACACTAGGTTGGTGTATCTACTCCTTCCAGAAGTCCATCAACATTCTCACTTTTGAGACAACTTTAAGTTCATGTATGTTGAAGCTAGTATCAGATCCATCATATCTACCTTATCTTGTATTGTGTGCTAAATTGCTATTATCGTTTTAGCCTGGCAAAATAATCGATTTTAAATGTGTATCTTCATGCTATTTAGTTTGTATACTCTCACTTATCAGCTCATACTATACATCTTTAAGGTATTTGAAACATTTGGGATATGAAGTTAAGTATGTGCGGAACTTCACTGACGTAGACGACAAGGTAAGATGCCCAAAGTTTATGTTGCCTTCCATACCCTGAATTATTATTTATGATGAATTCCCATCAACCTTTTGCTTTATTTCCATTATTGATCTTTGCTCATGGTTCTTTATTTTTTTCAGCATTTATGTGTTCTTACTAAAATTAATCCATTGTTACATTTTGAAGAATGAATATTTATTTCACTGCTCTCTCTATCTCTATCCCACCAAATCTCTCTTTTTAATCTTTTGTACTATTTTGGGCATGTCTACGGCCTTGGGGCTAGATTTCAAGTACTCATTAGCATGCATAAACATACTTTATTACTCTTCTTTCCTTGCCAGCTTAACATGCTTTTATAGTTATAGACACACTGCCTAGATATTGTCAATTGAATATACACTGAGTTGCATAGGTGATCAATAGGCGACTTGTTTGAAGAATTAATGCAAAGATCAATCGTATTTAAAACCAATTAGATATTATTAGTAATAGTAAGAAATAATTTAGTTGATATGATTGATGACTAGAACATAACCGCAAATATGAGCAAATGCTGACATGTAACAGTTTAATCGTATCGCCTATCTTATAGACTCCTGGCTCCGAGCGCTTAGGTAAAAACATTGCATGAGTCTTTCCCTTGATAACTATTTCGCAACTAATTTGGGGTAAAAACTTAGTATAATTAGTAACATTCTTGTTTTAACAAATCTATTCTCAAAGGCTTTGTTATTGAAACGCTGTTCTTGTTAAATATTCGGGTTAGACCATTCTAGGATTAATAGGTAATTTCAAGGTTATCAGTTTATTTGTAATCAATGGTGCTTTAGATGCCATGTAGAAAGCCAATAAAAAGCTACATATGTTGTCATCCAGGGGTCCGAACACCTTTAAGACCTACATGTTTTTATTACTGTGATTCTGCATAGAGGAGATACACAGTATGATCATCATTGTCATTAATGGAGAAGATAAGGGAAATTATGACAACTCTAAGAATATAATATTTGGAGATCATATATTCATTAGAGATGAAGTTATCTTTAATAAATTAGCAGTTAGTGGATATAGGATAGTAGTACTTTAGGTTATATAGACATTAGGGACCTATTATTGTTTATATAGAGTGATTGCTATAATTTTTTTCTGTGTAGCCTATGCTCACATGGCTGATTCCTTGCTAACATAGATATTATCGCTCACATCTTTCTCATTTCTTCAATCTTTCATTCCAGTTTATCCTGCACAGACCTATAAGTGTATGTATTCAGGGAGACAACGTTATTTGTATCAGTCTTCAAAAGATGTATATATTTCACATCCATATCTTGAGTCCGATATTACCCCTATGGAATAGAATTTCCAAAAAAAAGTTATTAAACTTATTAATCATGTTTCTTCTATAGAAACTTTCAAATGATATTTGAGAATTTTCGAGAAGCCACACGTATTTGCAAGTGAGTTTATTTCACCTTTAGCGAAAAAGCAATTGTCCATGAAACAGCAAGACTATTAAACTGGTATTTCCCACTAAGTTTTGTATCATGATATGCCTTTCCTTTGTGCTTTTAACTCAGTTGATATTAAAAATTTCAACAAAAAGTTAAATGCAAATAAAATCTTGGAAGTGCTTTTCAAATTTGTTCAGCTTTTAACAAGAAAGAAACAGTCCATAAAACACCAAGACCATTAACCTGGTATTTATGACCGAGTTCTATACTTCCATGTGAAGATATGCCTTCCCTTTGTGCAATTAAATTAATCAAGTAAAGAGTAACTTCTGGTGTGAATATATGTGCTCATGAATATAGGCATTAGTATACACTTATCGGAGATAGAATGAGATAATATCCATTTCGACTACATAAAGGTTGATTGGCCTTTCAAGCATCTAATCATAGGCATTGCACCTTTTTGGGGCAACTTTTCCTTTGCTCAACATATTTCTTGAAAGCAAGGGATTTCTTTTACGTTTGTATACACCCTTGTGGTGAGTTGGGAATGTGGATAGATTGCTGGTTTCTTGTTTCAAAATTCTTGGTAGTGTCTTCTGTACATATTCATCTCAAAATGCTGACAGGAAACCAGCGAACTGTGTTATTATTGTTGCAAAACATGGACACATATGTTCCAGTCATACTGTTCAACTAAGAAAGTTAATATCTTGTTGTTTGACTAAAAACTGTGTAGCAAATAATCAAAGATAAATTGAGGCATGAACGAGGCCTCATCAATAGCAACTTAACATAACATAATTTACATAAAATTTTTAGATGGTATCTTCAGTTTGATAGACATGTAGAAGTAGATGCAGATTTTCTTTCCTAAAGCATGATCATATACATGATGAGGTAAGCACAGTTTCCTATGACTGGGATAGCTGCGAATGTTGGTTCATTTGATAAAATATAATGATATGTTACTTGTTAAGGTTGATCCTCTCCTTGTAATGAGCTTCTGTACCTTCTAGCCTGTAATATCATGGGGATGGATCAAGCAACCAATTAGAAGAATTCAAAAAAAGCTTACAATAGCAAGTCCTTTGCCTCTAACTATGTTTTATAATTTCCTTTTACTCCATAGACATTATAGAGTAAAGAATCATTAGTTGTTGTCTTCCAATCATATTTTACAGTAGAGGTGGCTTCATTTGCTCATATCTACCTGTTTGATTGTTATTGGTGTCTTTAGATCCTATAGGACTATAGTTCAACACAACACCTATAGTGTTTGTAACATCTCATTTGTATGTGTTATAATTTAACTGTTTACATTGTATCCCATTGTTTATCTATCTTGTACATTTTTTTAATACTTTGACTTGTGGAAAGGTTAAGTTCCCATAAGTCAAAGTTCTCCTATATCTATATATCTCTAAGTTTTTGTTGATTTCTCATTGACCCAACTTTTGTGATTGTTATAAGCATGGATCAGCATCTAGTACTTTTTCAAGTCCACGTATTTGGCCCAAGTTGGTGCACTTTGGTACTTCTTTTATGAAGCTAGGAAAATTTATATTTCGTCTCTCGGTAATAATGTCACAACAATAAAATTAAGCTATAAATAGGCAATATGATGCAGGTAGACTTCTCTTTTCATTTGACATGTATGTTTCAAGTTCATGGTGACATCAAATTGAGTTTTGCTACTTTCCATCTCATCATAAGTGTGGCATAGTAATTTTGGATTATTGTCATGCAGATTATTAAAAGAGCCAATGAGATTGGGGAGGACCCGTTAGCTTTGAGTGGTCGGTTTTGCGAAGAGTTTCTGATTGATATGGCTGATCTACAGTGCTTACCCCCTAATGAGCAACCGCGTGTTTCAGATCATATGGATCAAATAAGGGATATGATAGAAAAGGTGCTTTTTGCATGATTTTTTTGGATTATAGGGATAATCATAGTTGCACACATGCTCATGTACCATACACACGCACACACACACTTTCTTCTGCTTCTCCTTTCCTCTTATAATGTCAAATCTTTCTGCTTTGTTTTCACATGGTCTTGTGTACAATACAATGAAGCATCTATACTTGAATGGAGTTAATGTTCCTAGCATGGTTGATTCAAAGGTTTTTAATCCATTCTTGTTGTTTAGATGGATCTAAAAAATGCATAATCCTCATTCAATGATAAAACAGCTTAAGAGATGCACACTTTCACACTGATTTTTGTGTATTCTATGCAGATAATTAGCAAAAATTGTGCTTACGCTGTTGATGGGGATGTCTATTTTTCTGTTGATAATTTTCCCAGTTATGGGCGGTTATCAGGACGAAAGCTGGAGGACAATAGAGCTGGTGAGCGGATTGCTATTGATTCAAGGAAGAGAAATCCAGCTGACTTTGCCTTGTGGAAGGTATGATGTCTTTTGAACTTATCTTGAGCTGTAATTGTTCCAACAAACGTCTCACATAGGTCACATATATGCATGTTCAGGCTGCTAAGCCAGGGGAGATCAGTTGGGAAAGCCCATGGGGTCCTGGAAGACCAGGATGGCACATTGAGTGCAGTGCAATGAGTGCTGCTTATTTGACAGAGAAATTTGATATTCATGGAGGTGGGATGGATCTAATCTTTCCGCATCATGAGAATGAGATTGCCCAGAGTTGCGCTGCCTGTCCAAATAGCAATATAAGTTACTGGATGCATAATGGTTTTGTCACTGCAAATGATGAAAAAATGTCAAAATCAGTTGGGAACTTTTTTACTATTCGTGAGGTATATGCATGTGATCTCATTCATGATTTATGTAGTTCATTACACAAAAGAGTTCATATCCTTACTTTCTTTGAAGCAAAGAAATGAAGAAATATTATATTTGGAGGGTATCCCTTTGTTACGAGATTATATATTGTAGGTCAGGTTCAATGGTACTGATTCTAATAAACTTTTCCAGGTGACTAAACTATATCACCCACTTGCCTTGAGGCATTTCTTGATGGGAACACATTATCGATCCCCAGTCAATTACTCAATTGGTCAGATTGAGATATCCTCAGAGGCTGTCTTTTACATATATCAGGTGGAAATGTTTGGAGCTGTAAAAGTACCACACACACACACACACACATATATATAAATATATATGTATATACTAATAACTTCTATTTGTTGATTTGTTATATACTGAGAAATGTCTTAAAATTGCTTTTTGTTGGTAGACCCTGGAAGATTGTGAGAGTGCTATCTCACAATTCCAAGAAGGAAGCCAAAAGGATGGGGCTGTTTCTAGTGGCAAGAAGTATCCCATTACTGATGATGCCAAAAAGTGCATCAAGAATCTGCAAAGTCACTTTGAAGAGAAGATGTCTGACGATTTGCACACACCTTCTATTCTGAACGCGGCCCTTCAAGATGCATTACGATTGCTGAACAAAATTTTGAGCCTGCTCAAGGTTAGAATTTTGAATAGTCTTGCAAATTGTAACCCCACTTCCCTGTTGCTGACACGTGTATCAAATTTTGTATCTTTTTATGGATCTGCAGAAAAAGCTTCAAAAACCACAGAAGCTGTCGAACATTCAGTCTCTTATCGAGCTAGAGAAAGAAGTGCGAGATGTTTTGGACGTGCTAGGACTGCTTTCGAGCTCAAAATACACTGAGGTAGCTGCAGGGTTTCCTTGCTTTTGGAATTGAGCAATTAATTTAACGAAGTTTCAAAATTTCCTATTTTTTTACTCATTTTGACTGTAACCTGCTGCTCTTGTAACATTTCATGACGTGGATGTCAAGTTTATCCTCCACTTCACTATAACCTTTTTGTAAACGGGTATCCACGTTATCAAATTTTACAAGATCACCTGTTAAAATGGGTATAAAATAGGAAAATCTGGAACTTTTATTACATTAATTGTGAAAAAAAGAATTATTCGTTACACTAAATAGGAATTAAACAACTTTGTTGCATTTTAACTTTTAGATTTTAAGGAAAATGGCACAAATAGCCTTTTCAGCTGACCAAATGTATCTCAGCCATTTCTCTCCCAAGATTTCAAAAAAGTCACCACCTCTGCAAGTAACCATTCCTTAACTAACGGAGGGGCATTAATAAGTTAAAAGATGCATGCCCACTTGCGGAACTCACATGGGACCACCTCTCATGGACCCACTTGCGGAACTCTCATTCAACCTTCACTTGTGGAACCACCTCAAGGGCATGCCCACCTCACACAGAACTTGTTTTATTTTTATTTTTGCCCCCTCCGCAAGTTGAGGAGGTGACTTTTTTGAAAAAGTGGGAGAGATTGCCAGGAGGTAAAGTTGGTTGGGAGAAATGGCTATTTGTGCCTTTTTTCCCCTAGATTTTAAGCAGACACAAATTTTTTTGATAATGAAACTTGGTATTTGTAGGTTTTGATGCAACTAAAAGAGAAAGCACTAAAGAGAGCAGAGATAAGTGAAGAGGACATATTTCAACGTATCGAAGAAAGAGCATTAGCTAGGAAGAACAAGAATTTCAAGCTAGGTGATCAGATTAGGAGTGAATTGACTTGCAAGGGCATTGCTCTGATGGATGTCGGCAATGAAACCATTTGGCGGCCGTGTGTGCCAACCGAACCATCAGCAGGTTTAGAAGAAAAGCAAGGAGGAACGGCAACATCAGCAGATGGTCAACTGCAGGTCCCACCAAAGACATCAGATAGTCAACAGTCAGCAGATGTTGTAAAAGCTTGATAAGGTGATGCCTTATTCCTTTTTTGGAGTTCAAACTTATATATTTGTGAGCTAAGAGTTGATATATGAATACTTGTGTGTTCTAATTGTTGCAAACCCTTGGCGGGTTGTAGCAACAACCCAGGTGGAGCTGCAAATGGTAATTTTGACCTTTCCTTTCAATATACAAAACACAAGTGGATTTGATTACTTCACAGTTATTCCTGTTAGTTTATTCTAAATACTACCAAAAAGGTTAAGTACTGTTGTATCCCCCAAATCGTCACTTCATATTTTCTTAGGGTGCCTGAATTTAAGTGTGCCATTCTGCTCTAGGTAAGAAAGAGCATGTTTGTTATTAGCAGCTTATACTCGGCTTATTTGGTCAACTTGATAGTGGCTTAATGATATAGAAATTGGTTTATTCAGCAAGATTCTAGGAGGGACCTTTATGCAGAATTTCAAGTTTTCTCTTCTTCCAAATCTCTCTCCCAACACGCTTCTTGTATCTATGAAAAGACTCCCAAACCAAAATCTTTTCATTCTATACTAACGAAGTAGTCCACACAGATAGCTTTATTCATACAAGATTTGATGGAAAATCTACCAAAAAGCCTTAAGGGGCTGTTTACCAAATTTTTTATTAAGTTCTGTATGGATAAATTTGTCTGTCTGGATAAATTTGGCTGTTTGGATAAATTTGGGTTGCTGTTTACTTTTCTATCTGAATCAACAGTCTGAATAACAGAAATGACCAATTTACCCTTGAGTATAACAAACCCAAATCAGCAGTGGAAGGATATTAACAAGCTGATGTTATACAACCCCATGTTAAACAAACCCAAAATAAAAAAGGAAATTGTACTAAAGGAAACAAATAATATATTGGTTTAAGCAAATAATGAACACAAACCGAGCAGGACACAGAAAAGGAAACCGAGCAGCAAACAATATACTGGTTTAAGCACCTCTGGTTTAAGCAGCAAACAATATACCGAGCAGGACACAGAGCAGCAAACAGAGCATACAAAATAAATCGAGCAGCAAGACCGAATCGAGCAGCAAAATCGAACAGAGCATACAAAAAATCGAACCTAAGACCGAATCGAACCTAAGACCGAATCGAGCAGCAAAATCGAGCATACAAAATCGAACAGAGCATACAAAGAAAAGGAAAAAAGGAAACTGTACTAAAGCAAACAGAGCATACAAAATCGAACCTAAGACCGAATCGAGCAGCAAAATCGGAAGCATCAAAATCGAGCGAATCGAACATAAGAGCATCAAAATCGAGCAATATCAGCAGATTGGATAACGAGCAGCAAAATCGGAAGCAATATCAGCAGCAAAATCGCCGATTAGTGTTTTGGAGGAGAAGAGCAAACCTGTCGAGAAAAGAGAGTAGGTTTTACAAGGGTAGGCAGGTCTTTTTTGTTGGCTTAATGTGGACAAGTGATGATTTTGGTCTATGCGAATAAGCCCCTGTTTTGGGGAATAAGCTTGAAGTAAACAGTCTAAAATGGTTGTGCGAATAAACCTGTTTATCTGGTAAGCTCGTTAAGTCACAAGTAAACAGACCCTAAGTCATAAATTTAGAAGTGCTGTATTTTGGTTCAAAGAAGTCCCAAAAGAGCTAATACAGAAACCCATTCTCCAAGACATAAATGAGCCACAGAGGAGTACTTGAGAGTAGACATGGTCACATGGACATCCTTCACTGTGCCCACATAACCGGTTTCAGCAGGCCTGACCATGACCGGTTAAGGCTCAACCGACCAGAACTAGTTACCAAATCCAAAGACCAAATCGGTTCTACACTGGAGGCCTTGGGTAACCGATTATGATAACCTTCGTTATGCTTCTAGGTAAAGAGAATATTAAGGATCGGGTATCCATCCTAGACTTGGATTATAAACGTGCTGCCTGATTCTTCGGTTTTAGTTCAAACCATGAATAACACGTCTTGTTTGGTTTCAAGTTCTTGAACCATGAATCTGGCTTGTTTTTTAATCTATATTATAATTATAGCACATAAACAAATTACAAATACATTCAAGCTTAAAACAACACTTAGGGGGTGTTTGAGATTGCTTATTATAAGTCAGAAGAGTTTAGCTTTTTTACAAAAGCACTTATCAACTTATTATAAGTCAGAAGAGTTTAGCTTCTTTAAAAACTTCTTCTTATCGGTTTGACATCGGTATAAGTTGTTTATTCAAACATTCATAAATGCTTATTACCGGTGCAATACTAGAATAAGTCAATAAGTTGTTTTTATAAGGAATCCCAAATGCCCCTTAAAATGGAGCTATGAATTATAATAATAATCTTTTTTGTTAGCAGCCTAACAAGCTTTATGGGAGCTATACATAGACTGTTTAGTAATATCTATAAAAAAAATATCTCAAACAAAAATCTTTCAAATTTATATAAACAGATTAATTCATGATTGGTTTTATTTGATTCATGATTTATCTATGACCCGGACCCATTCAATACACGGACCCAAACCCAATCAATACAACTTGGGCTTCTCATTGGCCCACAAATGTTCTTTTCATTCACAAGATATAACGTTAAATAACTTTTTTATATCTTATAATTGACAAAAAAACATACTTCAGATTAAAGTTTTATGATAAAGAAACATAACTCATTGATACGTGCACTATTTATTTATAGCTTGTAACTATGAAAACCCTTTAATCAAAATCTTTATGGTTTTACCAACAAATAAATCGTTTTAAATTTACTTTTTTTCATGGTAACTGTAAATATCTGAACAAGTAGCTCACTTTATCTAAGTAATGGGGAAGATGACTGGAACATGCCCTTTTACGTCCCCATGCCCTCTGTATGGCGACATGGGAGGACTGTCTAGGTTGACTTATAAATTCTAAAGTTAACAAATAGGTAAATCTTTAATGTTCCATGAGAGGACATAAACTGATAAACTCTGTGAATATTGGGGCTGTTTGGCAATTGCTGAATGGTTTGGTGCAAAATGATTAAGTGGTCAAAATGATTAAGAGGCTCTCATGATATAGTGCAAAATAAAATATAATTGTTTGGTAATTGTGTACAATGAAATTAGAGCTCTTAATGGTTAAGGGAGATCCAGGATATAAAATCATTCAGAGGGTTTTAAAACCATTAAGAGGTAGACTTTTTTTTTTGCCAAACAAGATTCACCTCTTAACGATTCAGAGATTGCCTCTTAATAGAACTATTAAGAGGTAAACAAACAATCTTATAGTCTTTTTTGGTTGCATCACATTTGAAAATAGTAAAAAGATCATGTATTTGAAATAAATATACCATTTTTTATTGTTTGAAATATAACATTGCTTTTATATTATAAAGTAGTTGTTGATATTTATTCTCTGATCGAGCATTGCTTGAGTTAGAAGGAAAGTAGTGGGGGTATAAACATGCATGGAAAAAAAAAGTCAAAAAGTCTAAAGCATATGGCAAGGTGTTCATTTTTCAAAATACATATGAAATCATGAAAGCAATCCAACTTTTGGGTGACAAAATATATCAAACACTCGATCTATGGCAGCCATTTCCGGATCTTAGGTTTAAGCTTTCACATTGTCAATCTCCAAGACCAAATCAATCTCATACAAATTCTTCTACTCAAGTTTGTTCAAACGCTACCAAGAATTCTTCTGACTGTTATCTTTATTACCCTCATACAATATTAATCGATGTGCATACAAACTGGTCCAGACAGTCATGGTTAAAAAAAAATCAATTTTTTTTGGGCATTAGTGTGGTTAAAAGATGTGTGAATTTTGATATATATATATATATATATATATGAGAAGGGTTTAAACGAGAACACCATCATCTTATGAGAATACGAGAACACCTTTTTACAATAGACAATCACATGTGATACTATTATTCCATCACATTTGATACACAAGTGATACTAAATCAGAGATGCGAGCGATTTTCGGCGCGATCTTGGTTGCGGGACAAGTCGCCCTTACACCACTAATCCCCCTCACATGTATCATCACATGCCATAGGGGTGTTGTTGATATGATACTATAATACATCAAAATCATCACATTTGATGCTAAATCAGAGACGCATACAACCTTTGAAGCGGCCTAAGTCATAGAACACGTCTTCCGCATACCACCAGGTCCCCTCACGCGTATTATCATATGTGACAAGGGTGTTCTCTTTTGAACCTCCACCATATATATATATACATATATATATACATATATATATATATACATATATATACATATATATACATATATACACATATATACACATATATATACATATATACACATATATATACATATATATACACATATATATACACATATATATACATATATATATAGGGGTGGGTTCAAATAAAAACCACTCAATTTGTAAAAACCGTGAAAAACTCATTCAACCAATCATAATTTTTCATTTTGTTCATTTTTTTGTAATTATGAGAGGTTAATTAATCATTTTTATTATGGAGGGTGTTAATCATGGATATTATCATCTTCATTATTTTAATTTTAGAGAAATACATGAAACAATTTCATTAAAATTTCATTAAGTAGTATATGAAACAATTTCATAACCACATATGAAACAACTTCATCAAAAAAAGTATTATATGAAACAATTTCACAAGATTAACAATTTCATGAAAAAAATTTCATTAGCTTAACGACGGATGTGAGTAGTTTTTACGGTTTTTACAAATTGGAGTGGTTTTCATTTGATCGCTCCTATATATATATATATATATATATATATATATAAATATAAATACAAGTTTTCACACTGAAAAATCAATATAAAAATGATGTTTTCCGTTCGTACTTTTGTACCGTTTATTGATGGTAATGTCTTTGTTTTGGTAGCCATCGATCATCTTAAATTTTTATGTTCTTACTAACGGCAACATATTCAGTGTTCTCATGTGAAGGTAACAAATACATTCTACAAATCTTTTCTCAAGATGATTGGAAGTGACGAGATAGGTTAGTTATGACCAATGGGACGATATTTTGTTTATGAACACTCTTTTCATATGACACCAGTAAAGATAACACGACAAATTAACGTTTTCAAACTCTGTCGGCAAATGCATAATGACCACTACTTATATCATACATGTCACATTTCAAAAGAAACACGAGGGATCATCTTGATCTTTCATTTTTCTCTGTGAAATAACCACTGATAGATTTAATTAAACTTGTTAAAATTTGTTTAGAAGAACCCAATTTTGATTACAAATTCCATATTTATATATCAACAATTTAGCAAAAAATGATCAGACGACATAGATTCATTGTTATTTCGAATTATAAAAAAAATAAAGTGAAATAAATCACATGTGTTTTTTTTTTTTTTGAAGTATATAATATTGGGACCCTGACCCAAGTAACCTTTAAAAATAGGTAAACTACATTTTTAGCCATAAAATTCAAAATTTTAACAAAATAGCCTTGTATTACCCTGTTAGCAACGTTAGGTGCGTACATGGACCTATATGCAATTACCAAAACTTGTGATTTATTTAAAAAAAAATTATAATAAAAAAATTTATAAAAAAACAAATTAAAAAAAAAAATCGGTTTTTTAAATTTTTTAAGAAAAAAATCAAATTTCTTTAGAAAATTAAATCAAAGCTTTATTTGCATATAGGTCTCTGTAAAGGTGGGACCCACCTGTATATTTTATTTATTTATTTTTTTAAATCAAAACTTTTTTTTTATTTGCATATAGGTCCTTGTACGCAAAGGTTATTTTGTTAAAATTTTCAATTTTTGGGCTAAAAGTGTAATTTTCCTATTTTTGAAGGTTATTTTCGTCATGATCCTTATAATATTTATATACGCCAAGTACAACAAATAAACTCACAAACCCACCTCATTTTTAATGATGTTTAAACCCCAAACATCGTAGGAGGCTACGACAAAGACCCTTTGTTCAAATGTTTTTCTTGAGTAACACAAGTGCTTATATGAAACTTGTCCAAGTCAAAGAAACTTTGTGTTTCCAAGTGTTGGAGATGGATATTGAAGAATTGTGTGTGGTCCATAGAATTGACTTTCCTTTTTGTTTTTGTCGAGTGTTGCTTTGGTCTCTGATTCATTCGTCTTTTAACTCCACTTTGTTTGTAGGAAGGTATTTCCGGCCCCCGGTTAACCGAAAAACAGATCATACTATTATTTAGTTTATATAATTTCTTTTTAGATGAATTGATTTGAACATATATAAAATTAACATCAGGTGAACTGATTCATGTTTAAACTAAAAGAACAAGAAATTGAGATATATTTAACAAAACCATCGACCAATGTTATCATTGTAACATGATTGCAAGAACTAGTGGTAACAAAACAATCAATGTGCAAGGAACAACGAAGAAGTGAAGGGTTTCGTCAATACAAATTAGGCCAGTAGGAGGTACTAGCGTAAATAACTGAGGAGAACTAAGGGGTCATTTACCTAACACTTACGTGGGTAAGTGCTTACCGGCAAAAATCAACACTATCATTCACCTACGTGGTAAGATTTTAGTTAACGAAAACGGTATCCTACGCAACAATTTACCCAGTAAATGTTAACCGTGGTAAGAGTCGTCGCCATTACTTACTGGGTAAGAATCTCGGTCCTTGAATTCGCTCTTACCGGTAAGATTATTGGTCTTTGTCATATGCATCCGATAAAATAATGTGACTTGGTAAGCGCTTACCTGGATAAACGTTTAGTAAATGACCCCTAAGTATATAAACTTTTTTTTTTTATATCTAACATATTTGAAAGGATAAATTACATGAAAAAACAACGTACTTTAACTTAATTCCTATTTTGGGTAACGTACTTTCAAAACTTCCATTTTGGTATCTAAGATGTAAAGTTTTAAACATTTAAGTACCCGGGTAATCAGTTGAAGACTAATTTTAGATTAAAAAAATCCATGTCACTAACTACGTCAACAAATAATACTGAGTTGGTTACCACATCGCTCACCACATTAACATGATAACCGGTTAATGTTTCAATCGGTTATTACTCGAGTACTTAAATGTTTAAAACTTTATATCTTAAATATTAAAAAAAAATTAAAAATACGTTATCTAAAATAGAAATCAAGTTAAAATACGTCATTTTTTCCCCATGTAATTTGTCTTATTTGAAAATTTGAAGATTTAGTGGGGCTTTTTCCGACACCCAACAATATAAGTCCACGACTGCTTGTCCTTAGCCACACCTTACACCATTCTCCTTAGCCACACTGCTTGTCCTTAGCCACTCCTCGATGAGAGCTGCGTATGATGATATTTCGCTTCACCAGGTTAGTTTCAGAAATTCTTGGTGGGTCAATTGAGTTTCCTCTAAAATTAATATTCTAGCTTGGCGCCTTCTTCACAAAAGGCTTTTGACTAAAATTAATCTTGCTAAAAGATGAGTGGTTTGTCTCTCCTCCCTGTGCCCTCTGTGCGAATGCGCGGAAGAAGACGAGGAACATCTTTTCATAGGATGCTCGATATCTCGGCAATTGCTAAAGGATTTGTGCAAATGGTGGAAAGTGGACATAGGACAGGTGAATTCGATTGATAATCTTCTTGACCGTTGCTCGGAGGTGGCTGAGAATTTTTCGTGTAAGAAGGCTTTTATTGGATTATTCTGGATTATTTGGAACCTGCGCAACAGCAAAACTTTCTCAGTCCCTTCTCAGATGATGGCTACTTTTCTTGCAGGCCAACTTCAGACGTATTCTTTTTTCTGGTTTAAAAACAGGGTGCCGAAAGATGTTATGACGAATAGTTGGATAGAGTGGTGTAATTCTCCCATGTCTTGTTTTTAACTTGTACTCTCTTTTGCTAGCGTCTTGCTAGTTTCTATGCTATTTCGTCTTTGTTGCCGGTCAAAAAAATAAAATAAAATGTAATTCAAAAATAAAAATGATTAAAAGTGTATGTATTTTTTTTTATGTTTCTCAATCTAACTCTTTTTTTATATGATTTTTTGCCTACTGATTAAATGTTTTAATTATTTTACAAAATAAATAAATAAATAAAATGTAATTTACACATCATGCGTATAATATTAATTTTTATGATTGTTTACTATAAATTGTATCATTTATGATTTCTTTTGTTTTTATTTTTGTGATTAAAATATATTTCTATTTTTTTTTGTAATTAAATGATTTTTATGAATTTCTTTTGTGTTTTTCAAATTAATTGAAAAGAACTACAAATGTATTTTTACAATTGTATTGTAGGAAAAAAAAAACTAAGAGCAACTACAACAATATTAAACGTTAATAATAACTGAAATGATACTCGCGTAATGCAGTGAGATATATCTTATTTTAATGTTTCGTTTTATTCGATCTTTGTAAATGTTTTAATATGGTTTTCATGTGGTTTTGAGAAAAAAAATAATGTTTTCATTTTTGAATAAAATATAAATTTAAAAATAAATATATCAATATTAGTATTAAATTAACTATTTAAGATTTTTTTTTGTGTAATTTCTTTAATTCAATTTTTTATTATAATTTAATTTAGATCTAATAACGAAATAATTTATTTTTGATTTAATAATATAATTTTTTTATAAGGATAATAATTAGGTATTCTATTAGAACTCAATGATTATCCTAATTATATTTTAAATTTTTTACATTTAAAATGAAATGTTTATCTTGTATTTGAGTATTTGACTATGTTTATGTATAGTTAGTTACACGAATTTAAACATGAAACTTTAATAAATTGTACTTATGCATAATTTATTTGTAATCTTAAATTCTAAGTAATATGTATCAATAAAAGGTACTTCATGCATAAAAATTGGTTTTTAAAAGTTTTGGTCGAATGATTTATAATATAGTATATATAAGTACAACATTAACAATTACTACAATAAAAAATAGAGTAAGTTACCTTTTTCGTCCCTATGGTTTGTTTAAGATTGCAATTTTCGTCCTTGTGGTTTAGATATTGTCGTTTTCATCCCTATAATATGTAAATCATTGTTATTTTCGTTCCTATAATTTATGATTTATTATTGTTTCAGTCGTTGTGATTTACAATTCTTTACTATTTTGGTCTCTTATATTTACAATGGTAAGAATTAGTTTATTTTGCAAAAAGTTCTGAAGAAAAATCGAATGCTACAAGAAAGTTTATCCGAGGCTTCTTTGCATTTCTTGTTTTGTTCTTTATATTCGTGTTTTTTGGGTGCCCCTTACGTTTCGTTTCGCTTCTTACAGAATGTGTTTGGTGGGTCCCCCATGTTTTCCTTTCTTTTGTTGTGGATCTCTTATTTTTTTTTTCAATTTTCTTCCTGCTTACAAAAACAGTCTTAGACGAAATCAAACATTCTTGAATTCATGATTGCCACGATCGTCTTTGTTACAAGAAATTTAATTTCGGTGAAACTTTACACTTAAAATAAGACGGAAAAAAAAGAACACTAACGTTCGACAAATACAAAAATCCCACGAGAACATAATGGGTCAGCGGAAAGTATGTCACATAAAGAAGAAACCATTGAATAAAAAACGGGTATTTATACAAGTAATGGAATCGTCAACTACCAATTTAAAAGCAATCAACTTACAGACTTTAGAATAATGGTGAAAAACGATAGCCATTGAAAGAAACCGAAGATCGCATTGTGTTACACGTTTTTCCCATTATAATTTTTTTTTTATGAATTTTAGAATAAATGACTTTTAGATTTAATTATAAATTTCAGAATTTATGTATTTTAAAAAATAATTAATTGGCTTTAAAATACACTTAATAATTAAAAATACATTTTAGAAGAAATATAAATTAAATCTTTTTTTTTAAGGTGTATCGATATCTAGTTTTTTCAAATAATTAATTTCAAGAGAATAAATAAATAAATCAGAATTTACAAGATCCGAGTGGGTGAAAATTCGACAACGGCTTCTCCCAGCCGAGTTTACAGTGAAGCCTAATAATAGCTGTGATTGATCCCATACTAAAACTAAAATCTTGACCCGACTCAAGCCAAACGGCTCGAGCCGTGACACTACGCTAAAGGCTCAGATGCAAATCTAAGCCGAATGCATCGTCAAAGGTGGGCCCACCATCCCCTCTGGAAAACCGACTCAACGAAGGCCCGTCTTCATGGTGGGCCCGATTATTGGGCTGAGGCCCAACACTCGTCAACGACGACTCCCCTACACTGCCGGCGTAGTATAACGACCCTGGTCCTCTGCCGCCGGACGGTGACGATGAACCAGATGGCAACACGCATCCATGCGACACGTGGAAGGCGGGAGCGGCGCGTGGAACGTAAACCCACGACGGAGATGCGACGGCGGAGGATGGGATCACCATCGGACCGCTGTGGGTGAGGAGGTGCGGCGGAGGAGCAAAGGCGGAGATTATAGGGTTCCTGATATAGGAAACGGCAGCGTTCCGGCTGGCTTGCATTTGTGCACGCTTTAACTGTTGTCGTTCTTTCTTATGGGCGTTCTGGTGACCACCCAGTGCCTGTGAGTTCGCAAACTCACGGCAGCAGTACTGACACTCGTATTTCCGGCCGTCGGAGGGTGGAAACCCCCCGCCGGAATCCGATGATCCAGAGGGTGTTTTGGTGGATTCCACTTCTTCATCTTCTGATACATTGAAGCCAAACAGCTTTAACCTAGTTGTTGTGTTATTTGAGGGCTTAGCTTGATAGTGATCAAGTTCTGCCATATTATATATATACACACACGTATATATATATATACTCTCTCTCTGTGTATATATATAGATGTATCTATATATGTATATAGATTAGATGTGGGTATGATGTTGAAATTTAGAGAGAATTGAAAGAAGATGAGATTGGTGTACTAGGAGAGATCTTGCATGGATGGTGGTATTTATAAGGGTTTTTAGAGAGAGATGGTTGCGGACATACCAAGAAGAGAAGAAAAAGCAAATGTAAATTTAGGAAGAGGACCAACAACATAAAATGGGTCCCACATGAGATGCACTTGTCTATTGGGCATCCACTTACTCAACTCTAAATAAAACTTCCTTTATACAACAAACCAATCAAATTTATTATTATCTATCTGACAAATATATGTATCATGTTGTTAAATTCTTATTTCAAAAAGAGATACAATTGTTGATTGTATATGGATTTAGTTTAGGGTTTTGGTGATTGCTAAACGAATCTTTAAATAAGTTATATTGAAACAGTGTCGATAATTTTATATCAGATATATTAACATGTAATATTGTTTTTTGAGAGAGTTTGTTGGATCATGGGTTGATGCATGATGTGGAAGGAAGTAGTATCCAAATTTGAAGGGAAAAGAAAGTCTAAAGAATGTGATGCATGTGATTGTTGTAGGGTTGTTGAACTATCAAATGATTGAGTTCTAAAACTCTACAATTTTTATGCTATTAACCATGTTACTAATACTTTTCAATTTCTATATATTCTTTTTTTTTTCTATTTTAAATAAAAATATATATTTTTATTTATACTAATTTTATTAAAACCCACAACTCAAGAAGCCCTCCTTATATTTTATACTCAAAAGAATATATATATATATATATAAAATTAACTTAATGTTGTCATATAAGAATTGGGTTTTAATTCATATTTAGAAAATTTAATGGATAGTGGTATAATTTGATTATAAAAACAAATATGTTGAAATATTTCACAATATCAGTATAGATTGGTTGGTTGATTATTTGTTCTTGCACAGAAAGGGACCTATGTTCAATTATAGGCTACATTTTTCCTGAAGCATATAAAAAACATCGAAATTTAAGCTATAAACTAAAAACCCGAGATTTTCATACAACGCGAGCAACAATGATCAACTCAGCCATTAAAGACTTACGCTAAGCTTCAGTTTCAAAAACTATATGATGACACCCAACAAAACATTACGACGACCATGAACGGACCTACCATGGTGGTTACGGTGGCACGTGCCACCATATTATTCCTCTGTTTAAGGGTAAAAAAGTTTAGGTTCGTGAAAGGTGCAACCGTATTGAATTGTTGTGTGCCATCGTATGTATTTTGAAACTACAATGAGAACAAGTTTTATTTGGTAGAGTACTAGAGTTGGTTTGCAAGACTTTTATTCCACCCCAGACCCGAGTTGGTTTGCAAGGCTTTTATTCCACCCCAGACTTGAGTTCGAATCTTGTCAGTGTCATTTTCTTAGTCAAATAGTGTCACCGATTGAAAAAAAATCCATATATTTGTTTCTTATATAGTCAAACGGTACCACTGTTTGAAAAATTTTCCCTATAATTTTTCTTTTAGTCAAATAGTGCCACCGTTTGAAAAAAATTTAGGTCCGTCCCTAACAACAACACCCTTTAAAAACGTAATTTTTTCTTCTACAACGAAACCGTGAAGCGGTATAGTAGCTCTTGCCACTATATTGGCTTATATAAGTCCAACCCCTGCTACTTACTCTTCTTTTTTCCAACCTTTTCAAACTATATTGTTTGTTGTCATTCTGTCAATCTTGAATTCCCTTAAACTTTTCTATTACATTAATTGTTTCTTGTATTAGAGGGGTGTTTAGGATGATTATTTGAAACAACTTATATTTTTCTATAAAAGTACTTATCAACTTATTATAAGTCAGAAGGGTGTAACTTCTTCAAAAACTCTTTATTACCGGACTGCCATCGGTATAAATTGTTTTATTCAAACACTCAAAAATGCTTATTACTGGTACCACATTAGAATAAGTCAATAAGTTGTTTTTATAAGCAATTCCAAACACCCACTCTAATAACAAATAAGCATTTATGTTCTTATATTAATAAGATTATTGCAATCCATGTTTAAAAAAAAAAAGAAATAAAAGAAAATGAGTTAAGAAGCAGCGTCGGTCGAAGCTTAATGAGTACAAAATGGCCCCCACATTTCACCATCATATACATTTCCGTATCTACGTCTTTGCCACATCCACCTACGGACGGACACCAAATTTTTTTAGATACGGTGACATCATATAAAACGGTTGCACCTTCTCGAATACGGTTGCACCTTTCACGAACCTATTTTTTTTACCTTACTACGGATGAACAATACGGTCGCACGTATCACCTAACCACCCCTCTAGGTCCGTCTATACCCACCCCTTTTTAGTTCGGGAAATTGAACATAATAGTCATGTTTTAATCAAATCCATTTTTTAGTCATTTTTGGAACGTGCGTTTTTTTTAGCGGAGTTTACATAAAGGTCTTATGCTTTTATGTAAAATCTATTTTCAGATTAAAAAAAATGATTTTTTTACGTATATTGCGTAAATACGTATGTAGGGTTTGAGTTCTCGTGAACCTTCCAGTTTTCGTGACACTACTATGAAGGATTTATCTGTGCTTCCCTTAAGAGCTTGATGCATTTTCTCTCTCAAAAGATTCGATAGTTTTTCATTAACAGATTTAATTTTTTAATGTAAAGGTTTAGTGTTTTGCTGTGAAGGTTTTGTATAACTTGCTGTGGGTTAATGTTTGGGAAACCTTGAAAAACTTATCCAATAACTCGATATGGTTTTGTAAGTGTCATGAAAAGTAAATGATCTCAAGATGATTCCAAATATATGTGTGTATGGATGTCGTACTTTGCGACTTAGGTCATACCAAAGATCGTCTATGTCTATGATTTAGCTATCACATTTGATGTTCTTGATGGATAATAATATCACATTAATAACACATTTATCACATGTGATAGTACATGTGAGGGAGCTTAGTGGTGTAAGGGAGACTTGGTCTACAACCTAGATCGCGTCAAAAGTCGTCCACGTCTCTGATTTAATATCATATATATTGCAATAATAGTATTACATGTGATTGTTTATGGTAAAAGAGTATTCTTGCGTTCTTGTAAAATGAAAGTGTTATCTGTGAACCATTCCCTATATATATGTATATGTATATGTATATGTATATGTATATGTATATGTATATGTATATGTATATGTATATGTATATGTATATGTATATGTATATGTATA